TTTCATTCGGATGCTTGACAACTGACTCACATTTATGACGGTTGCTGTGTCCCGGGGTCATGTGATTACCTTTTGCAGCCTTCTGACAAGCAAAGTCAAACCAGATTCACTTAACAATCGTAATCTAACAACTGCAGTGATTCACTTAACAAAGGTGGCAAGAAAAGTCGCAAAAATGGGGCAAAACTCATTTAACAAATTTCTCACTTAGCAACATAATTTTTGGGTTCAATTGTTGTAAGTTGAGGACTATCTGTAGTCGAGCTGGCTTTGTGGTTTGGGCAAGACTAGAACTCATAGTCTTCCAGTTTCTAGCCTGGTGCCTTAAACACTGTACCTCATTGGTATTCCTGTTAACTTGCTGTTATTTGGCTATGTTTATTGTTATACTTTAACTCTCTGAAGGCTGGCTTTAAAAGAGATATATGTGTGCATAAAGTTTTACTCACACTTTCTGTTGAATGGTTGGAAACACAACAAGTAGTCATGAACCTACTGCACCTAATCAATGTGTTTAAACAGTGCAGTTCAAAATAGTAGGCTTAAATGATAGCCCTAAATTTTTGCTCTTCTAAACTTTCTTCTATGCTGTGCATATTGCCTATACCAGTGATGGCGAACCTTTTAGAGTCCGAGTGCCCAAACTGCAACCCAAAACCCACTTATGCATTGTCAGGTGCCGGGTGAGTGTGGCCCATTGGGTGGGTGTGGCCCATTGGGAGGGCGTGGCTGCGGTGGTAACGGCAGACTGGGTGGGACTAAAAAGTTCAATCAATCAATTCCAACTTTGCAAGATCTTTTTTTTCCCCGTGAGAAGTTGAAATTGACTGATTGATTGAACCTTTTTTTTTTGTACACGGCAGCGGAGGCCTAAAGAGAAAAGGTTTTATAAAACCCAGCTGAAGGCCTAGGACTGGGGCGACGGCACGTGTGCCCACAGAGAGGGCTCTGAGTGCCACCTCTGGCACCCGTGCCATAGGTTCGCCACCACTGGCCTATACTTTTGCTTCCCTATTCAGATACATATATTTATAATCTGATTTGACTCCCATCCTGCTCCACATCCCCATCTAGAATGTAGTTTTGTTTGGGGGAGGAATATACATTAATCTTGATTAAGTCTATGCACACCAAGTCTATGCATGTATGCCAAGTTAAGAATTAAAAATAGATTTTCAGTTTTCATCCAGGTAGATTAATTTTGATCTCAACTTGCTGGTCTCAGCTTTTATTTAAAACACTGAAATTATACACAAGGCTTTGATTTTGTTACTTGAAGGAATCTGGATCTGCCTCGTGTTCTTTGACCTTCTCCTCTTTTTGTATAGGCCTTGTATGGTATGAAATCCCACAACCTTTCTCCAGGTGAGCAAACCACTTTATTTGTTGTTTTTGTATGTAATTTAAGATTGGCTCTGTGCCAATTCTTTCTCTGATGGTCCCATTTCTGATTTTATCTCTTCTCTTCTATTGAGATTTCTTATTAATTATTCCAGTTTCTAAGAAAAGAAAGGATTATGTTCCCGCTGGTTAACAATAAAGGTGTCTGTTCAGTATTTTTAATAAGATCTACAAAATATATTTATGTTAGAACCTAACAGAATGGGAAATTAATTATGGGAAATACTGTCAACAAAAAACAGGCTTTAGAACGGATAGATCTACAACACATCAGGAGACTCGGGTGAGCTACTTGACAGAGAACTATACAAAATAAGCCAAAGCCTGCACTTTTTGCTGTTTTGTTTTCATTGATTTTAAGCAAATACTTGACTACATTCCTTGAGATAACCAATGGGAAAACCCGTCCCTTGCTAACTTATCTCTGAGAAATATGAACATACAGCTTTTATGCTAGATGCAACCCAACAGGCCAGCTTTCTAAACCAATCCCTTCTAAGGGGGGGGGGGGTATGAAACAAAACTACATTCTTGCCCCAGTGCTATTCAGTTTGTACATTGACCTGTACAATTTGCAGACTATTTAACTTAAAAAAAATTCCATCTTCCAAATGCAGCATTGCTTTACACGGATGACACAGTGATCCTATAACAAACAACTGATAAGGTTAAAACGTTCATTTTGAGCGCTATCTCGCTTTTACAACTGGATACTTGTAAAACCAAGGACAAGGTTTTTGTAAAACATTTTTAAAAATCCTAATGATCAATGGACAGAGATATGAGCAAATTGCATACTCATCCCCAAGGCATAATTTTGAAGTCTCAGTCAAACATAAAGCTCACTTTTCATACTCTGTTCAGAATGCAAAATGAGGTTCAAAAGTTTCTTTCTCCTACTTTTACAACTATTTTGCAGTGCATTGTGTAGTTCTTCTCACACATCCATTTATATTACTCTTTTTATTAAAATATCCATAAGGACCCCTGACCTTCTATAACTGCTGTACTTCCTGAAAGCTCAATTATTTTTATATCATTTACCAGGAACAGAGAGGTGAGAATTATAAAAAATAAAATGTAAAGAAAAGATGTGATAGATTTACAAGCAGAGAAAGGGATGGAGAAATAAAGCAAATTGGGTTGGAATAAAGTAGGTTTTCTTAGATTTTCTTTTATTCTCCCATATCTCTTCTCTCAAATTTCTTTTGTATATTATTTCTTATTTTTTTCTTCTGCATGTTGTTTATCCAGGACCAGATGGATTACACCAGGACCAGATGGATTACACCCCAAGGTTCTTAAGGAACTGGCAGATGTGATCTCAGAACCACTGAACTATATTTTTCAAAGATCTTGGAGCACTGGGGAACTACCAGAGGATTGGAAAAGAGCTGATGTAGTTCCCATCTTCAAAAAAGGGGGGAAAAGGGACCCAGGAAATTACAGACCTATCAGCCTGACCTCAATACCTGGGAAGATTCTGGAAAAGATAATCAAACAACGAATCAGTGAACACCTACAGGCAAACAAAGTCATTACTAAAAGCCAACACGGGTTTGTCAAAAACAGATCATGCCAGACAAATCTTATTGCATTCTTTGACCAAGTGAAAAAATTAGTGGACCAGAGGAATGCTGTAGATATAATTTACTTGGACTTCAGTAAGGCATTTGACAAAGTAGACCACAACCTACTACTCGAGAAGATAGAAAAATGCAGGTTAGAAAGCATCACCACCAGATGGATCCGTAGCTGGCTGACCGGCCATACTCAGCGTGTGGTCCTCAATGGAACCGCATCTATATGGAGGGAAGTGTGTAGTGGGGTGCCCCAGGGCTCTGTACTCTTCAACATCTTCATCAACGATATGGACGAGGGGATAGATGGGGAACTCATCAAATTTGCAGACGACACCAAGCTGGCAGGAATAGCCAACACTCCAGAAGATCGGCTTAGGATACAGGAGGATCTGGACAGACTTGAACACTGGGCGCTATCTAACAAAATGAAATTCAATGGTGAAAAAAGTAAGGTTCTACATTTAGGCAAAAAAACCCAAATGTACAAGTATAGTATAGGGGGTACCTTGCTCAATAGTAGTAACTATGAGAGGGATCTCGGAGTCCTAGTGGACAATCATTTAAATATGAGCCAGCAGTGTGCTGCAGCTGCCAAAAAAGCCAACACAGTGCTAGGCTGCATTAACAGAGGGATAGAATCAAGTTCACATGAAGTATTAATACCACTTTACAATGCCTTGGTAAGGCCACACTTGGAATACTACATCCAGTTTTGGTCACCACAATGTAAAAAAGATGTTGAGACTCTAGAAAGAGTACAGAGAAGAGCAATAAAGATGATTAGGGGACTGGAGGCTAAAACATATAAGGAACGGTTGGTGGAATTGGGTATGTCTAGTTGAACGAAGAGAAGGATGAGGGGGGACATGATAGCAGTGTTCCAATATCTCAGGGGCTGCTACAAAGAAGAGGGAGTCAAGCTATTTTCCAAAGTGCCTGAAGGCAGGACAAGAAGCAACGGGTGGAAACTAACCAAAGAGAGAAGCAACCTAGAACTAAGGAGAAACTGCCTGATAGTTAGAACAATTAACCAGTGGAACAACCTGCCTCTAGAAGCGGTGAATGCGCCAACACTGGAAGTTTTTAAGAAGAAACTGGACAGCCATTTGTCCAAAATGATATAGGGTTTCCTGCCTGAGCAGGGGGTTGGACTAGATGACCTCCAAGGTCCCTTCCAACTTTATCATTATTATTATCATTGTCCCCCAAACTTGAATAATATCTCTCAGTGGCATAATATACATGTTATGAAGCAGTGGAAACAAGACTGAACCCCGTGGCACCCCACAGATCAGGGGGCATCAGCCTGAACTTTCCTCTTCCCAATAACACAGATTGGAGCCACCCACCAAGGAAAGAGAGGAACCAAAAACTGTCCCCAACCCTTGCAGGTGGCCCAGAAGGATAGCATGGTTGATGATGTTCAAAACTGAGGAGGGGCATACTTTCCCCATCCAGGTCATGACACACATCACTGAATGCCTAAAAATGGGCCTGAAGTCTGATAGCAAGAATGAATAACTTTGGCGAGGCTGAACTTACCTATCCATTATCATCCAATTCATGCAATCTAAAAGAAGAGGAACTTGATCCCTTTTGATGTAAATTTAATTTTAATAACATCCATGTCGTTAAATAACTTTAGCATGATTATTTCCTATGTATTCAACGGTTTGTCCTTGTGTCGCATTAAAAATCACTATTTGGAGAGTGTTTTGGGAGCGTGAAATCCCTGACGTAGCACCAAAATCCTCCTTACACCTTAGGAACTTGGAGTATAACGTTGTAGATAATAGGTCTGAAAAAACAGAAAAAATAGTTGTTAATAATTCAGACTCCGCAACATACCGTCTACGAACAGACAAACTTAAGATTTCAGAGTGTCGTGAAATCGAAGACTTAAAAGATAATGAAACAGATAAAAGTGGTCCCACCAGTTTTTGCTTGCAGGCAAATGGTATTTCTTCCAGATATTCCAATGCACCATTGTTGCTACTGTGTCATGCCATTGTTTGTAGACAGTCTCTGTGATCTTCTTGCAGCAGCCAACTAAGTGGTTCACTGTTTCTTCAGCTTCTTTGTACAGATGGTATTTGCTGTCAGAGGCTGTTTTCTCAATTACTAATATTATTATTAAAATCTAAGGGCAACAATGGCAGTTCTATAAGCATAACCATTCTGGGTAATCTGTTTAGGAACTCCCTAGTTTTCTTATATTCCTTTTGAAGTGCCCGGCATTCCTTCATACCACCTGTGTATCTCCCATTGCTGAAAGATTTGTGAGAACTGTACATCTATAAAAAAAAATAACATTTAAACTGTTTTAATTATCACTTTCAGGACAAGAAAAGCCAGAGCAAATCAGAGAACAAGTTGAACCTGCTTTTTCTTTTTTGAAGCTCTGTTGTACACCTATATATAGTTTTAAACAATGGCCCAGATTTTGAAGAATCTTCAAAGGTCCCTTCCAACTTTACTACTACTACTACTATTATTATTATTATTATTATTATTATTATTATTATTATTATTATTATTATTATTTTGTCCGATGAAAAGTTCCTAAAAACAGCTTCCTTTGTTTTGTTTTTACTATGTTAACTATGTGTATCAATAGATGGTGTAGAAAATTGAGTACAGATGCTTCCCTTTTATTTATTTAATATTACAGGATTCATACATGTCTTATTCTATGTCTGAAATTATTTTTAATATTTCTGCACTATTGTAACTTCAAGCAGTTGCTAGACAAGCAGTCAGTAAGCAAAGACTACCTGCATATCAGAGACCCCGAAAGAAGTCCAAGGATGGGGCTGGAGTCTTTGCCCTGGGGTTGCTTGCTTAACTATCTCTGTGTTCTCACTGGATTTCACTTTTGAAGCCAAGGGACCTTTTATGACAATTATTTCTCTCTTTAACATGATTATTTATTATTATTTATTGAATTTATTGAAATAATAATAATAATAATAATAATAATAATAATAATAATAATAATAATAATAATAATAATAATAATAATAACAACATGATGTTCTTCAGTTGCTGAAATCTAGAGAGAAAACCTGAAGAAATGTTAAAGTTTATGGTTCATATGACAATGAACTATGAACAATGAATTATTTTCTCTCTCTAACCTTCTGGACAAGCTCAGGTAGTTGAAAGAACAAGATTGCTAGAATGTAGACGAGGCTGGCTGGCTGGGGAATTCTGGGATTTGAAGTCCACAATTCTTAAATTTGCCGAGGTTGGACACTTCTGATGTAGGCATTTCCAGCAATTAAACCAACCTAATAATGTACAGTATTGCCATCTTCTGCTGTTAAAATATGAAGCACCCTGATTCACCAGAACTGTTGCAACAAACTTATTTCTAGTTTTGACATCTATGTTTCTGATACAGTCCAAGTTATTCTCTCTGATCTTTATGCTTTTGAGGCCTGACTCTACATGCTAGCAGCCCTCTGTTGATCTTGATCTTCTTTTATTTTCCTGGGAAATGAGGCATATGTAATTTAGTGTCTGGAAATCTAGAAAACAAAACATTCAGCAGGGTGAATTTGTGCTAATATTTATCTGGCAGGTACAGCCATTCCTAGCTTGGCCACAAAAGATATTTAAATGAGTGTCAGAGATAAAGAAAAGATTAGCAGGTAGCATAGTTCTCGTTCCAAAGATCATCATCATGTGAACACAGTTCTTAAGTAATAATTGTTTCAGACAGATATGGCAATAGCATTGTTTGAAGTAAAAAAAACTGGCAGGAGCTAAGATTTAGTTCCCCAACATTATATGCAAATCCAATAACAGCACAATTGATTGATGTATTTGCAATGCTTAGGCCTTTTAATTGAAATAAAATCATTATTTTATTAATATATGGTACAAGTAACACAGTGAAAACAGAGACACAATAATCCAGTAAAAATGTAGTCAGTGATATAAATCAGGGGTCTTCAAACCTGGTCCTTTTATGACTTGTGGACTTCAATTCCCAGAATTCCTCAGCCAGGCATGCTGGCTAAGGAATTCTGGGAGTTGAAGTCCACAAGTCATAAAAGAGCCAAGTTTGAAGACCCCTTGATATAAATGGTTGACATAAAATACCAAACTCAATGTTTATTTACTTAATTCATAATAATTAGTGAAATTGAACCTTGGCAACCTAAGGTGTGTGGACCTCAACTCCCAGAATTCCACAGCCACCATGCTGGCTGGGAAATTCTGGGAATTGAAGTCCATACATCTTAAAGCTGCCGAAGTTGAGAAACACTGCTATAGAGAATCACTACATAGCCAATTGACTATTAGTGGATCATAATATGGTCAGCAAATTAGCTCATAGAATATAGAGAATGGGTAGATCTATACAGAAAATGCCAGAGTATTGCAGAAAATCATAGGAAATTTCTGCTGGGACATAATTGTAGAAACGTGATTCAGTATACATCAGTGTTTCTCAGTTAAGTCCCACTAATCACTCTATCAAAGAACCTGGATCTCACCATGACAGAAATGAAAAGGCCACATGTTTTTGCAGGCATTACATTTATAATTTACAGCAAGTTTAAAGGATTTACTTACAGTTTTAAGGACTTACTATGTGTCCCATCGAGATTATTTTTGTATACATGAGTTGAGAATTGCATAGAGTACCCAATTCAGAGTCAAATACTAATGATACATCTAATATGCAATGTCCCTCTCCGAATGGTCACTGTGAATGAATAAGTGAATAAGAAAAGCTACAGGAATTTACTTGAGTAGTTCAACAGGAGGAGGAGAGGAGAGTGACCGGAAATGTTGTATATTTTGAAGGATTGTGTGCCGAAAAGAATTTACTGAATACCTGCCAACTGAAAGAGATGTGTTCTGAGTGCTGCTTATTGTCCCATATGAATGACTGAGTTACTGTTTCCTACTGAATGAGCAGAGCCTGAAAGAGGAGCGAATATGAATAGCTAATGGAAGTTTGAGGGGGAAATTAAAAGGAAATCCTTAGAAATTTTAAGTCAAGTGTATGTATTTGGTTAATATGAAAGGGAGGAGGAGGAGGAGGAGGAGGAGGAGGAGGCATCCTAAGTAAAAGGAAAGGTGAATGGACAGGAGTCTGCATTTCCTACCTGCAATGCATGTTTGTCTTCCTCCTTGAAAACAACCTGGCAGATACTTGCAGAAAACACTAGAGAAGAATTATGTTAGTTGGTGATTCACTACTATGAGGAATTGAAATAAATGTATGCCAAGCAATCATTGCTTCATAAAGCAAGGATAAGTGATGTGACAAAAGAATTTCCAAAATGTATCAGATTCATTGGCAACTATATTGTCCTGCTAATACATACAAAACAAATGATACAGCAAAGAACACTACAACTGTATCCTCATGGACTTAGAACTTAAATCCTTGAGGGCTCAGGTAATTTTTCGTATCTGTGGAGGAGAACCAGAAAAGGAAAACAGAATTCTACAAGTCAATAACTGAGTATGCAGATCATGTCTGTGAGAGAGACTTGATTTCTGGGACCAGGCTCTGAGTTATTTAGATGGTTTATTACCAGCCCAGATGCTACAGTATTGCATCTCATCATAATTAACAGAAATGTCTTTAAAAACCATAGTGAGCTTGATTAGGTGGTTTACACTGAATCATATTGGAAGATTAAAAACTATAAAGCTGGGATGCCAGTTAAGGACTTATGTGCCATATAAACTGGAAGTGATGCTGAAATAAAAATCAGATAAAAATATGGCTCACAACATATACCTAGCAGTGATATTATGAAGTGTGTCAGCCTTAAATCTCTACCTTTCCTGCCTTAGAAATGTTGAGCAAGGGGAGAAGTAGTGACTAAGATTATGCGCTTTTCTTCAGGAAGTGCATCTTTGAGAAGGATAGCATAGTGGCTGATGTACAGGTCTAAGACTGGGTAGATCTAAGATCAAGTCCACTGCAACACAGAACCTCAATATTTCTGAGCCTGTCACTATTTTTGATTGTTCTTGTGATTATAACCTTGGAGGAAAGAATTCTGTATATGCCATTTTGAGCTTGTGACAGGAGAGTGAGATAGATATCTAAAGTAAATATAGTGAATTTGCCCTGAATCTTTCCTTTTTTCCATTTAGAGCTTACTTTTTCTTACCCTGTATAAATCAAGAGACATTTAACATAGGAATATGTTATGCATAAGAACCAGTTTGGTGTACAATAGTAGTTAAGGCATCAGGCTAGAAACTGGGAGACTGTAAGTTCTAGTCCTGCCTTCAGCACGAGACCAGCTGGATGACCTTGGGCAATTACTCAGCCCTAGGAAGCTGACAATGGCAAACCACTTCTGAAAAACCTTGCCAAGAAAACCACAGGAACTAGTCCAGGCAATCATCAGGAATCAAAAACTGGGTTGAAGGCACCAAAATAAATAAAAATGTTATGAACAACAGTGAGTATGAGCACCAGTCCAATGTTAGGTATATTTAAAAGAGATCCAGTGAGCAAGTAGATTTCTTAGGGCGAGACAAGCACTGAGATGTACTCATACTTTTTCTTGTAGATTAATTAAATTGGTCCTAAAGAGGTCAACCAGTCACACAACTAGAACATGAATCATCTTGTTAGTTCCAGGATAATCAATTTCCCAGGGTGACAACTATTTCCAATTATTCTTTTTTAATGCTGTTGCCCTCCCTCAAAAAAACAAAACAAAACAAATTAAAAAAAAATCCTCTAGCGTAAAATGGGGAGAGAAGAAGATTAACATTCTCTCTTCTCTCTTTATTTTTTTAGTAGCCTTGTTGTAAACCATGCTTACTTATGGTTACAATAGTAGATTTGGGATTAGAGGGTTGTAAAAAGGGAGTAGATTTGCTCTGCAAAATTCCTGGCAATCACTAACAAAGCAAAGAGCTTGGTTTTTCTATGTCTCCTTGCTTTAATCAACATACATTTTTTAATGAATAGTCCAAACCAAAACATTTTAATTTCATTCCAAACTATTCCATAATAAATTGCATACCTAAAAGTGCACTGAAATGTTGCATCTTTTTGCTGTGTATTTTTGCATCCTCCATCCAAGGCCAAATTTCTGAGCTCCATAGCTGAATTGAATTTTAAAGCCAGAACTATTTGTTATTGAATCATGACCTGGCTTGTCCTTGTTTGTTGCAAAGAGGTTACACCTTCTAAATAAGCAAGAGCAAGGATGGGCAACTTTTTGATAGCCAAGGAAGGCACTTAAATGAATTAGTACTATGTAGACTAAACTAGAATGTTTTCCACTTTAGGCAGGGGTGG